TGAGGAAAAAAAAGAGGGGGGGGGGGGGGGGGAAGACAATCACACTAGATTTCATGTAAATAGTTTAATTATATTTCAATGCTTAAAACACAGAAACACTTGAATTAAATTACATCATAATGCTTCTGCTAAATTGTACATATACTTCCAAGAACTGTGAAAGGAGGTGCTATTGAACTAAAAGAATACTCCAGTACAAGCCCAGCAAATACCCGTAATATTCTTTTAGTCTTATTACCTGTACTTCTTTAATCTAAGGGCAGTCATCACAGGACAAAGCCTACCATTACAGGAAGAATGGTTAAAGAGAATTCCTCTGTAGGTGTGTTTGTTAGACAAGATATATCTCAGTATTAACGTGGAACAAGGTGCATGTTTTAGCACCTGAGCTGCACTGCTTGGCAGCTGCCTGTGCAGCACATGGAATTGGGTAAAGAGCACAAAGTAGGCCGTTGGTTTGAGGAAACAGCTCAGCTTACACTTGCCTTTTATTGACTTTAAACCAAGAAATGAAGTTCCAATCCTAAGAGTTCTAGGGGAAATGTTACGATTTAGGACAGCCATGCACCCCTGCTGCCGCTTGCATCCCTGTCCTGCTGCAGAGCGTGGGAGTGTGACAGGTAGCGATGCACCAGCTGCTGAAGGGAGAAGTCTGATGTCTGTGGCTGGCTGCCCTCAGTGCTTGGAGGAGATGGTAAGTGTGCGTGTGTGTGGTGATTTATTGGCTTCTCAGCTGGTCACACAGGCATAACCTCTGGGAAGACCCACAGATAGTGTCCAAATTCTAAGGAGTATTTGTACCCACGTACCTTCCTTCCAACAGTATCCCTGGAGTGCAAACACCAGCAGCAACCAGCAGCCTGGGAGTGCCTCCTACCAGATCTCCTGGGTATGGAGGAGGGACCGTTTTCCACAGGTGATGACACTCCTAGCCCTAATACAGTCCCAGAACTCCCTGGTTTTAAAAAGAGAGATACTGAAAAATTAAAGCAGCTTAGCCCTGTAAAACTGCCATGAAGGAAGCTGTGCCAGTGAAGGAGGGAGGGCTGGTAAGCAACTGTGCACTGCAGCGGTCAGTAGCACATGCCCAGGAAAGAGTCTGTATTTAATAAACAGAGGAAAAAAACAAAATCACAGTGAGGAAGAAAAAAAAACATTTGGGAGAACAAAAACTAACTGGCAGGTCCAAACTTGTAACAAAGCACTTAATACCTGAATTGCCATTCAGTGAAAGATCACCTTGCATAAAGCCTACCTTTAGATCTGTATTCAAATTTTTGCCTGCCCTGATTCCCTTTTGACTGGTGCTGTGGATGGGATATGATGACTAACAAATGCACGTACTGCAGAAAAAAATCAGGAGGTGATCAGTGCGTGGCTGGGTACTGATGCTTGCATTGCAGGCTCTGCTGCTGGCCTCGGCTGCCGTGCTGGCCTGCAGCACTCAGGGCTGGTGGCCATCAAAAGGCTCTGTGGAGGACAGCCCCCATGCCATGCTGCAGCATGCCAAGGTGGCCAGAGACCCCTTCAAGCTCTCTCCCTCCTGCAGCCCTGAAGGACACACGGGCAGAGGGATGCTTCAGGGTTACAGGGAAACTCCTGGCTTACCTGTCTAGTCCCACCTTCTGCATTAGCAGGTAACATGAGCAGAGGCTAACACAAAGCTCCGTGTTTCCTTCAGCAGGAAGAAGAGAAGGCTCTGACTGCAGATCCTGGCAGGTAAGGCAGTACGAACCAGCTGTTCAGTCACCTCTGGGGGCAGACATGGGGCTGTTGTAATATTGAGCCAATACATGTTTTTCCTTATTTAAAAGCAAATATTTCAAGGCTTGATCTTTTTTTCTAGATAACACTCTGCACTGTAGAAACTTCCCTGAGCCAAAGCAGGAGGGTGACGCATGGTACCGGAACCCCAGTTCTGCTGGACTCCTCTCTGAGGCCCAAGCACCATTATCCCTAGCTCAGCGGCAGGGAGTCACATAGCCAGAGATTGACACCCCCTGCCTCTAGCTGTGTGAATTCCCCTCTGTCTGTACAGCAGCCCTAATTTGAGATATTCAGCCACTTCCTCAGTTAAGATGTAATCAGCCAAATGGTCACGATTTCACTTTTTAAAGCTAGTGAATTCCCCATGCTTCAACATTACCCCGGGCACACATCTATCAGCAGCCCACATGCCACAAGGGGGATAAGCCCATAGTATGTGTTCTCCTTGGCATGCCCGAGATTACTGCTCAGCTAGAGGAGTCAGCTCTCCTTGCTCAAAGGGGCTTTGCCACCAGTCCCCCCTCCAGGATCTGCCAAAGTCTGTGGTCACTGTAGGGAGAGGCTCATTCATCGCTCTCCTTGGGGTCTGGTGGCACAAAGCCAATGGGGAAGCTCTCTGAAACATGCATCTCTCCTCCTTCCCTGACCCAGAGAGCATGCACATGTGCTCTGACAAGTTAATCTACAACAAAGCAGGCACTGTTCCTAAGCACGCAGCTTGGTAGATGGTATCACTCAGCACCAGCCCAGAAACTGGAGCTCAGGACCTTTTAGTGGTAACAGACGCACCAAAAAATCACCACTGCCATCACAAAGGGTTTGCTTCCCAAAGTGACGAGAGTTCCCAGTGCTTGTGCCCATTTGTAACACAAACCAACGGGGTGACCAGCTGGGCTCAGTGGATCGGCCATGCTTGCGGGAAGTCACTGGTTTGTTGGCTTCATCCTCCCCAGTCTCAGCATGATCCCAGAGCAGGGGCAGGTATTGTTCATGCATTGATGGCATTGGCAACGTCTGTGAACACAAGACGGCTGGGTCTCTGGAGGGCTCCTTGACTTGTCAGCAGGATCTGCATTGAAGCAGTGAAAGATGAGACCCAGCAAGTCTGCCTTTGCTCAGGTGTGTGTGCTTGGGCACAGACTGCACAGTATTGTAACTAGACTCCACTCCTCACTAAGGGGAGGCTGGCTGACTAACCTGGCATTAACAAGGCTGTGACAGAAAAAATACAACAGGCCAGAGAGCAAGTCAGCACATCCGTGCCAGTTTAAAATCCCCACATCATTGGATTACTGGGTCTTACTATTTATATATACAAGGCAGCATAAAAAGACTTGAAACATCAAGAAGGCCTGGAAACATGCCATAGACTGAACTTTGGCTGTTGTTTTAGACTCTCCCTCTCTTATGTTAAGGCTTTAAACTTGCATGCTTACCAAGCAGAGGTATCTGTGTATTAGCAAGCTCTGGAGAGATCTGAGGTATCCTGCTGGCCAGTCCCTATATAGGAAGGATCTACTTTTACTGTGCTAAGTTTAACTCTGGCCTTGTCATTTCCCCACTTTATTACCTGAAGGGAAGTCCTCTATGTGCACTAATAGAGGGATCTGATGTTTTCCCAGCATGTACTATGCAGAGGCAAAGATGCTTTGCTTTTATACAACAGTATTTCTTGCGTTCCCAAACCAGTGTATGAAGTATGTTGATTATCTTTCATATTCCAACACACACATCTCCTTTGTGTTCTTTAGCAGGTTGGGAAGCATGGCTCAGTGTAAATATTTTATAATTACAGTTGTATTTATTATCTCCTCTTTCCCTTTCTGCCCACATCAAGCTTGCTACAGATTATCTAAAGGTGTAAAGTAGGTGGAAACTGAGAATTCTTTGGGAGAACTCCTGCTCCTGGAACTGGAAAAGCAAGGGAAGACACGGGCAACACAGAGCAGCTGGAGAGTAATTCAAGAAAGGAGAGATGCCTACTCTAAGGGGAGGCTGCATCACTGGCTAAAAGACATACCTGTTCCAACCATCCCTGGCGGCTCTGTCTTTCAGAAAGGCTTTTGGTGTGGTGGTGGTGACAAAGGAAACAGAAAACACTGTGAAACTGGCTGCAAATGATGGTGAGAAGCCCTTCTTCCCTATTTCTCCTACCTCTTGGTACACTAGGGAAGGAGATAGCCTCTTGTCAAAGACCCATCTGGACTATTAACCAAAAGCAACTGGCCAAGCTATCAAGCTCTTTCCTAACTCATAAATGTAGTAAGTCAATGGTCTCTGAGGACCTTATCATTTCTCAGCATGCTGCATGCCTCTGAACACTCAGAGTGGTCAAAGCAAAGCTTTCTTCCCCTCTCCCCAAATTCAAATGGAGAACTCGCCTCCCTTTTCTCTTTCTGAGCTGTGCCTGCTCTGTGCTCAGCAAGGTTGGCCTGGAGGTGCTGACAAGACCAGATGTGCGATGCCACAACAATGTGCAGGCTTTCTGCCCGTGTTCTTCAGGGCTTGCAGCACAGTTAACTGTTATGATTACAGGCTTTCCCTCAGCAAGACCTTGTTCCACACTTGCATCCTTAGGCAATGCAAGGATACCTTAAAATTGGGTAGAAATTATTTGCTTTTCAGGGCCAGGGAAAAGGAGCCTCAGTGCTTTGCTGGCATTGAAGCCCCGTCTCACAGAGAATGGCATTCATCCTGCTGCTCCCTTGTGGTGCCCTGGGTGGTAAACTGTAGTAAACTCACCCTTAATTACTGAAGTTGCCCTTTCCTCTCTCCTAGTTGAGTAGAGCCAGCACTGTACCTCCACAGGCTCTTTGTCCTAGCTGCCTGACTCTTCAGTCCATCCTAAGCACTCAAAAATGCTCAAGCCCCCTATCGCCAGGGCTGGCAGCGATGGGGGAAATTCTTCTGAGGTCTTACATGGTTTCCTTACCCTACAACCCTACAAAAACTCTTTGACTCTGTAACAAAATCAGTGCAGGTACCGGTGGTTTTAATAACAGACTCGCTGGCCCCTGCTGCCTACCTTGCTCTGCGATGCCTGGGAAGATGCTGCATCTCGCCCATGTTCCAGCAGCTCCTGCTCCAGCTCATCCTGTTCCTCAGTGGGATCAAAGTTGTACATGGGCATGAGTTGGTGCCGTAGCTTCTCCAGCCTGCCCATGGGAGGGAAGGGAAAGGGTTAGTTGAGAAGGACAGATGCTCAGGCTGCCTTCCCCACCCCACTGCTGAATCCTTCTGCAGGCTGTTTCTCCTGCTGCACAGGGATTCTGCTCTTGTTGCTCTTGCTAGATAAGGGTCATGTCCTGTCCTGCAGGGATGAGGATAAGAACCTAGTACACACAGCTGGCAGGAGTGGAAAATACTTAAGAGTGCAGTTACAGGGATTAATTGCCATCACTAATCTATGTTGGCAGGCATTACGCACAGAGGAATCGGACAGGGATTTAAGTTCCTGCAGACCTTAAAAGATCAAGCTTTATGTGGTGGGACAAAAGAGATGGTGAAACATGCTGGCTAGGCACTTTTCCCCTGTCCCTCTGCCCACAACAGCCAGTCCTGCGATGTCACGCTATGTCTGCCAGCAGAAGTCCACTTTTAGCTCTAGTAGCCTAAAAGTAGTACTTTAAGGGTTGAAGTACATAAAAATAAATAGAAAATAATAAACAATAAATAGAAAATAGGAAAGAGAGAGATTCTCACAGGATGCTGATGCCTGTGGACAGACTGTTCTTACGCTTGTATTGTTGCTCTAAGTGACAGAGCTATGACATATTACCCCAAGGGGTCTCCCTAAGGCACATACTGGGTACCTCAGAGATGGAGGATGGATGGGTGGGCATCCATCAGAAAACACTGAGCCTTGCCTTAGGCTGTAGCTGAGTTTTGGGGGGTGGGAGAGGGAAACACACAAGCAGTTACTGGCAGTGTCACCACAAATATCTGTTCTGGCAAGTGTTAGGATGACGCATTCACCCCCTGCTTCTATATGGGTTTGCCAACACAACCATTATCTCCAGCAGCACAATGTTCACAGGCCAAGCATTAGCTGCTCCTGTAGCAGTACCCAGATCTGGGCTTCAGGGTCTGGCTTGGAAATTTTACAGTGGGCAGCAACACTTTTTGAAAGTCCATGGCCAGGCCAGGCCTGCCACAAGAAGTCAGGCAGGGAGGGGGCACCACATCTAATGGATCTTCACCAGTGTCTCTGCTGTCAGAGATGGAAGAATCAAGATGTGTGTCTCCCTGCATGCTGCTCTCCTCTCTACTTTCAGCCAGGAGCTTAACAAGGAAATTAAGACACGTAAGTCTTGGGCTAGAAAGCTGTATCTCTGCACTACGCTGCTGCCAGTTGCTGTGACTGCAGCTAAAGAGGCCGTCAGCCTTGCAAAGCCAGCGTCATTGGCCCAGGCTGTTGAAAAACATAGGGATCTGGGAATGGCTGAAATGTGAGATCCACGCCTCTCATGACAGAGTTCCCAGCTTCTTTATACACTCATAACACTTTCCTCTGTTTTAGTGCATCTCATAGACAAAGCACGAAGAGTTTGCAGGATCCCTAACCTCCTCCTGCTCAACCATGTTTTCATTTCCAAAGCTGCGGAGGAGTCTTTGAAGCTCTGGTGTTAGAAGGTGGGCCAGTACCAGGAGTGCAGCATCCCTACCCCTGCCTCATTCACACGCAGCTGATTCCCCATAGGCTTGTTCTCAGGCAGCCATCCCTTACATTCTCCCCATGTCCCTGTCTCCTTCCAAGCTCTCTCTGGATTTTGAAGCACTGAGTTCCCTTCAGCCAACAACAGATGTTACTTACCTCTTCCTCTTCCTGATATACAGAACCTGAAGGAGAAAGAAAACCGTCATTACTACAGTCCCAGTAGGATGGGAAACAGCCGAGAAGAGAAATTTTGGGCACAGGGCACACAGAAAGGAGGTGTAGCAAGTCTGGTGTCAATGTGCACCAAAGCAGGGGGAAGGGAGAAGTGACAACCGAAAATGAAATTTCATATGTATCAGTGTAAGCTTGGCAGCATATCATGTCTGACACCAAGTGCTCGAGTGGCCTGTTATTAGGTGTGTTAGTAGTAGTAAGAGTATTAGGTGTATTACTATTAGGTGTAGCTCAGCACATTTCTGGTGGCTGCAGGACATACGTTGCAATTTAAGAGTGGATGAAAAACCTTCCCTTTGTGGTTTTCATCTGTAGATTTCCTAAAGCATAGAAGTGCTGTTACCCCCTCCCCAGTAAAAAGGGAAGAAGCAAAGAGGGCATGCTCTGTGACTTGCCTCGTGTCAGCCTGTAAGAGTGGCTGCGCTGGGAAGAAAGTGAGGCTTGTGGCCTCCAGAGCCTTGTTCTGAGAACTACGAACGCTGGATGTTGCTCTTGGGAACTTACGACCGTTTCCAGGATAATGTTTCCAGGTTCTCCTAGGGGCTTTTGGAAAAACTCCTCCTTGGGCCTGCAATGAAATTTTGCAGTAGTCCCTTTCTGTAGGCTCCTCTGATGGTTGTATTAGTGAAGCTCTTCCTCATATGAGGAATGGGAGCTTGCTGCTACCTTCTGTTCTCTGTTGGCAGGTAAACGATCTGGTTATATATAAAAAGAACTGCAGCACTTGCATTGCCCGTGTCAGGCCCAGAACTATAGTTTCTGAAAGCTTCTGCCTACAGCATTAATGGCAAGGTTAGTTACACAGCAAATCCTCAAGGACTTTGGTGATACCCAGCAAGTAGAACCTTGGAAATGCAGTCCAGAATGAGTCCAGCTAAAATGGATTCAGGCCGCTTTAATTCAAAAAGGCATGTCCACAGGGGAGATTAATGTGGTTTCAACAGTCTGGTTTAAAAGTTAATTTGGATGAACTTTCTTGCAGCGCCTGTGTTGACAAGGTTTAAATCAATGTAGCTGTTCCAGTTAGCAAGTCAGAACAGAATCTGCTTTGTGTTCTTTTAACTGAACTTCCTATTGCTGTTAAAAATAAATACTGATACTACATATGGCCTTCTCTAAGCCTGCTGAGCATCCCATTCAGACTAGACCTCAGGGAGACTGCAGAAATATTGGAGCACTGGATAAAGGCCTTAAAAAGAAAGGGATCTGAGGAACTATCAGTTCCCAGCAGTTCTGGGTGAGCTTTAGTAGAAGGCAAATAAATTATTCAACCCAAATCAGTCCTAGAGCCCCTTTGCCACCCTCCACCCTCAACAGACAGAGAAATATTTAGCAGGGGCCTCTTACCATAGCTACAGCCAACCCAATCACAGTAATGATCCCAAAGGACAGCAGCATTGTGCTCATGCCGGGTCCAGTGTTGGCCACATCTGGGATTTTGGTGCTGTTGAAACTGGTAGTCTCAGGACTTATGGTAGCTGTTTCTGGTACAGTCACATCCAGAGTTGTCCCTGGGTCTGGCTTGGCCGTGGTGGTGGTGCTGTGATACAAGTCATGCACAGAGGGTGAGCTGTAACTCATCCTGCCAGCTCTTGGTAGCTCCTTTTATCAAGCCGTTGTCCTCACCCATCAGCTACAGAAGCGGAGAGCTGCCCTTCGTATCAAAGACCCTCATGTGAGACCTGTCCTGTAGGATCATTGCTGACTGTTTTTCTTCATAGGAACCACACTGTTTTCTGCCTACGAAAGAATGAGAACAAATGAACAGTGCAGAGCTCTTAGAGACAGGCATCAACTTTTCCAAAGTTTCCTAATTCACTAGTACAATTTTTGAGAGCAGCTCACAGGTGCCCTCAAAATAGCAAAAAGATTTTTCAGGGGTACTGAGGGCCCCTAAAGTCATGCCTAATTGACTTCCAGTCCGTGATACGCTCTCCCCTCACTGCTTCAGCTCTGCCTCCTTGCAGGCACTTGGCAGATCTATGTGAGGACAACCTCAGGACCCCTGTCTTTGGTCTGCTCCAGGCTGAGCCAGGTGGCCTCTATCCGCCTTGGGAGATGATACAGCATTTTCCTGCTTCTGTCTCTCGCTTTTAATTTTTGGAAAGTTACATGGATCCCCTTAAGTTTATCAGTGGGAACACATTCAATAAAATGGCACTCAGCTGTGAGACATCCACATCTCGGGATCCTTTATATTGAACCCAAAGTAGGACTTCCCTGTTGTGGTAGTCACTGGTGACTGGTAAATCACTGTAGTATCCATCACCCCACTGTCCCTCATCCCATGTGCTCTGGAAAGGCAGCTTCCTTAAAGCAGTGGCACCAGTTGCACCAGTCCCCCATCTGCTACTAAAGACAGTATTTCTCAAGTCCCACATGAAAGCACCCACACGAGCTTAGTCATGCACTGCTAATTATCAATATTAATTTTAAAATGAGTCCAATTTTGGATTGGAGTTGTGAAATCTGATAGACCTATTCATGCTGAAAACATGAAAGACTTTAATTGCTTCATGCTTCTATGTGCAAATGATCAGGAGTTACAAAACACCATGGGACGATCCTATGGGAAGTATTTGCAGAGCTTTGTTTATAAAAGCACTGTATGTAACATTAGTTCAGCAACTGCTTCCGTGAAAATGCAGCTACCTCTGGACCAGAGCAGTGCTGACCCCGAGAGCTACTGTAGCAGTCCTCTGATAATTTCTCTCCAGTTTAGCAGACGTTACATCTCTGGACTGGAATGCAGCCGAGACATAGGGGTTAATGAGTTCTGAATAGAAAAAGATGTGCCTGCAAAGAGAAATGAGCCATTGTTCTGCTCCACTCTGTTCTATTCTAGGCAAGGTTATTGCGCAATTCCCATTACTGTGACGCCTTACTGCTGTCCATAGCTGCATTAAGCAGTGTGATTAACATCCATCACCAACAACTGAAGCAGAGAAATCACACCAGGCAAACAGCACTAGGCCGCCCTGTGGTCAGCCAGCAGCCCCAGGAGCCACCTCGACTTGCACAGCACTTGCCCTCCATCTCCCTGAGCAGGTAAATCTCTCACCACACACGCGGGATCTGTCTCGCAGCTCCCTGTGAACTTTGTGAAGCAGGAGTTGCTGGGGGATTTCAAAGTGCCTGGGAGACTGTGGGCGCTGTCAAACTCCCATGAGTTTCTAGAGGAATGTGAAGATAGCAGTTCTGGCCTGATCCCACCTAACATCGTGCTGAGACATGAGTTCATTGCAGCTGAAAGGGACCATGTCCTTCACTGACCACTAAACCACGCATGCCAAGTTTAAACCATGTGGCACCTGGATCTCCCCAGCCATTACTGACCACAGTGGAGCTCATGTGTAGTGGACACTTGGGCACAAAGATGGCAAATTTGAAATCTCAGTGCCGCAGCAGCAGCAGCACCAGCAGCTGCAGCCCGGCAGGGAAAGGGAAGGAATTGCTGAGCAGGTATTGGGCAGACCAAGCAGCTCCTCAGAGAGAACCATTGATTTGTGCTATTCAGGGAAACTCTCCATGACGATAATTCACATTTTAAAAAAAGCCACCACCAAGGAAACAAAAAGTGGAAAAAGAGCCTAAGTGAAAGGAGTGAAACAGGCCCAAGGGCTTTGCAAAGTATGGCTCTAGATCTCGAACAGCTCCTGAATTTTGGAAACAAAATGGCTTAGGCCTTCATCTCAATGCAGTGTCAGTTTTGGAAAACCACTGGAACTTGGATGTTGAAGCTGATACCCAGCCTTTGGGTAAGAAAGACCCCTTTTGCATGGACCACACACTGTGCTGCTGTGCATCGCTCCTCTGAATAAAGTTAGGCTAGGATAAAATTAGCCAGCTGAAATTCTGGTCAAGTGGGAACAGTGGCTCTTGTTCATGCTCTTGGGGTCCTGTCCATGCTGAAGGATTCCCAAGCCCAGAGACCTAGCTCTAAAAGTAGTCCTGTATGAAAGGTTTCTGACACAGCTTAGACAACTAGTTCCAGGTCCAGATAAGGGCATTTCTGTTCCCAAGCCCCTTCTGGTCCAGGTTGCAGAGGGCCAAATGGGGAGGCTGAGTGCAAGTATGGCCCAGGGCCCACGGCTTACAACGGTAGAGCTGGGGGTGGATGATCTTTCCCACCACCCTCCTTTCCCAGTTGTCATCCTGGTGCTGGAATTTGATCTGCAGGCTGGGCACACTCCAAGTCTCTGATGGCCGCTCTATGGCCAGGGACAGCTACAACCTATCTCTGGCAGGTTTCAGCGTAGTCCATGCACAAATAGAACAGAAGAGGAGCCAGATCCTCAGCTGCTGCGAGCTGGCATTCTTCCATTGCCTGCACCAACAGAGCTTCTCCCACAGCCAGAACCGCTCTGTGCTGGGCTCTGCTGGGTCTGGGAATAGGGAGAACACGTTTGTTTCTCTCCTAAGCCAGCGTTTCCAAACTGGTCTCTAATAGGCACTGCGGTGGCCAACACCTCTGACATGCAGAACATCGTGTTGGGCACTAGCTCGAGGCTGCTGGCTTTCCTGAGTCTTGGTTTTAATCTCTCTGTGCTGCAGTTTCCTCCCGGGTACAACAGGAATAGAGGTTTCTGTCACAGGGATGAAGATGGGTCACGGGATCTCTGGATGAAGAAGGCAAATAATAACTAGTATATTTTTCTGCATCACTTCACCACGATGAAGCGTCTCTAGTTAATTCACCGATGCAAGCAGCACGGGGTTGCTGTCGGCTACGGGATGCGGCTTCCCAGTGCGCGAACTTGTGGCTTCCTCTCCCCCTGCTCCAGGGCTGACCAGGCTCCGGGGCAGCCCCCAGGGTAGCGGGGAAGCCCCACCCGCGCGTGTCCCCCTCCCGCTGCCAGAGAGGTGCCGCGGCCCCATCCCGCCCTGCCTACAGGCGCGGGGGCACTCCGCGCCGATACAAAACTGAAACACACGCAACGGCCCTGACCCCTAACCCACGGCTGGCTGGGGGGGCCGTCCCCGCGGGAAGCCGCTCCTTCCCCGTCCCGGGGAGAAGTTTCCAGACGGAGAACGGCTCACGCGGCCCTTCCCGCTCCGAAACGCTACCCGGGCGGTGACGGAGCAGCCCCGGGCGTCGCAGCCGGCTCCCCCGCCCCGCGCCTCGCCGCAGCGCTGCCCT